CCCACAGGCTCCCTGAGGGCAAAAACCCTGTCTTACTCATTCTGAAGCTTTACCACCTAGTTTAAACTTTAGCACATATTTGGTACTTAGTCTATTTTTATAGAACTAAATTGAATTTTCTTTTATAATGTATCAAGTATCTTGTCTCTACATCTGCTCTCAATGAAATGTGTATTTTTAAAGTTAATGAGATGTGTATGTAAGTCACAGAAGACTGTATAAATGTAAATGAGTGCTGTCTTTTATTGATTTTTATTTTTTAAGTTTATTCTGAGAGAGTGCAAGTGGGGGGGGTCAGAGGGAGGGCGGGGACAGAGGATCCAAAGTGGGCTCTGTGCTGACAGCAGAGAGCCCGATGTGGGGCTCAAACTCACAAACTGTGAGATCATGACCTGACCCAAATCTGGATGCTTAACCGACTGAGCCACCCAGGTGTCCCGAGTGTTGTCTTTTAGAGACAGTATGAGGGATATATGTATGGTGTAATAAACACTTGACAAACTATGAGCTCTTCTTTTTTTTTTTTTTTTTTTTTATTAATTTTTTTTTTTCTCAACATTTATTTATTTTTGGGACAGAGAGAGACAGAGCATGAACGGGGGAGGGGCAGAGAGAGAGGGAGACACAGAATCCGAAACAGGCTCCAGGCTCTGAGCTGTCAGCCCAGAGCCCGACGCAGGGCTCAAACTCACGGACCGCGAGATCGTGACCTGGCTGAAGTCGGACGCTTAACCGACTGCGCCACCCAGGCGCCCCACTATGAGCTCTTCTAATGGACCATTTATAATTATTCAAATTGCCTGAGACTCACAACAGCGAAATATCCAATAACTGTGGGTAGCAGTTTGGAATGCCAGGAGATAATGGTACTGAGGCGGTAACAGGGCGTGTAATTAGATGAATAGCATTAGCACCAGAAGACAAAGTTTTTTGCTTAAAGATAAACAAACAAACAAACAAAACTGCTGAGTTACAAGCAGCAGGTGGCAATAAAACAATGCTAATACTAATACTATATTACTAATACTAATGCTAATGCTAATACTGTATGTAGAACAATCATAGGGAATCTCAAAGGCAGAGTGGAACAGGGTCTCCACTCACAAGAGCTATATAAACCCACGTACAGAAAGGCACCAGGATGTGAAGACAGAATTCCATGACACAATGAAAACACAGAAAAAGTCTTTTACAATATAATCAAAACCTATGTGAGAGTAGGTGATGAACAGGAGTCCAGAAGCAGAAAAAACAGATCAAAAAAAATGGTTCAGAAAAAGGTTACAACAGCTGGATGAGGCAGAATCAATCAGACTAATGATAAGGTCACCAATGACCTCCATGTTGTAGAATATAATGGTTACTCTTTGGTCCTCCGCTTACACGACCCATTAGCATTTCACTCACTCCTCCTCTCTCAGCTTCTAGCATATCATCCTGTCTTTTGTTTTGTCTTGTTTCCTACCTCAATATCCTCACCCTCAATTTTCTTTGCTTGTTCCTCATCTTTCTACTTTATCCACTTCACTCCCTTGGGCATCTCACTCTGTCTCATGGCTTTAGAAACCATCTGCATGCATAAGACTCTTATAATTTTTACCACCAGCCCAGATCTTTCTCTTGATTTCCAGTGGAATTAATCCAACTACATTTCCACAACTTCATTTAAATGTCTAATAAAATTCACAAACATAACATTCATCAAATTGAACTTCAGATCTTTCCCTGCTCACACACACTCTATCTTTTCCTTCTCAGTAGTAATGCCACTCTTTAGTTGTTCAGCCACAAACCTTGGGTCATCTTTGACCCTTCTTTCATACACTCTAAACTTAATCTTCTAATAAAACCTATTGTTTTAACATTCAATAAATATCAATTATCCTACCACTGCTCACAACATCCATTGTTTATCACCATCTCTAACGCACAATCCCTCACCTAGACTGACAATAGCCTTCCAACCATCTCCCTTCAGCCTGGTCTCAAGACAGCAGCCAGAGTGATGCTGTTAATCACAGGTCACATCTCTCTACTCAAAACCCTCCTATGGCTTCCCAAGTTTCTCAAAGAAAAATTCAAAGTCCTAGCAGCCTTCTTCTGGGCTCACAACATCTGGACCCCATTATCTCTTTATCGCATCTCTTACTCTTCTACCCTTGCTCACTCCACATAGATTCCTTATTGTTCCCACCTCAGGGCCTTTGTACATGCCCAATTCCTCCCCCTGGAATGCTCTTCTCCCAAACATCCCATGGCTTATTCCCTCACCTCCCTCAGGTTTTTACTAAAATGCCATAATTTCAGTGATGCCTTCTCTAGCCAAACTATTCAAAATTACAACCTCTATCTCAATGTACTTTCTAGTTCTCTTCTCTGCCCTATTCTTCTCCAAGTACTTATCAGTATCTAATCTAGCATTTATTTTACTTATTTATCTTGATTATTTATATACACTGTACTTTCCCATTCATCTGTTTTGTTGACTGTTGTATCCCCAGACCTTAGAGTACTGCATGGCATATGTAAGTGCTGAATAAAACCTGTGGATGAAAGGACTCATAATAAACCACATTTAGTGAATGCTTACTTTTGTCATGGATTAGGCTAGTCATAATGCAATATATTATTTTTACTAACTCCCCACAGCCTCCATGAGAGATAAGCTATGATTGTATGTCTTTAGCAGATGTCAAACAGGCTTAGGGATTCTAAGTAATGTGTCCAAGATCACATAGCTAGTCATTGGTACTGAATTACCACATTCTTTTGATACATAGTTCATAAAACCAAGTTACCACCAGATTCTTTTGGATGAATTATCTCCATGTCTCTGAACTGTGTGATGTCAATTGTACCCTCTTTAGCAATTTACACATTTTGATTACGTATACATGTATGAACACATGCCATAACAAAATTCTCAGTGGAGAATAAAGGTTAGAATCATACTTATAATCATATTCCCAGCAATGTAACTCCCACAGGGAAATACAATAAACAGTTTCATAGTCTCGCCATGGTGCTTCCTTTTCTTATTTCTAATTCATACCTATTCAGTTTATAGTTATTCTTCCCATTTTTATAACTCACTAGGCTATGAAAATCATTTTGATATTTTAAAATTGGGGAATGGTGGAATTATTTGGTCAAGCTTTATGCTGCTATGATATGCTTTCCTAATCTTGAAATAAATTTGAATGTATCTCATTGAGTGACATTTCAAAACAATTAATTTACGTCTTCTTAGAATGGATGAAGACAAACTATCCATTGTCAAAAAAATACTATATTTGTTTTTGAAACTTTATATTTCATATATGTTCTATACTCTTAGCTAATCTTATCAACTTGAACACCTGAACTGTCAGGTCAGTTGAGGAAAACCAACACAGATTTTTATGGATATTCTTTTTTTTTTTTTTCTTATGTTTCTTCAAAATGTAGTGTGATCAAATGTATCTCAAAGCCAGTCTGATAATTTGGTAACTATGTAATCATTAATATTTAGAAAAAAAAATTTCACTTTCCACTAAGAAGTATCAAATTTAGGGGCGCCTGGGTGGCGCAGTCGGTTAAGCGTCCGACTTCAGCCAGGTCACGATCTCGCGGTCCCTGAGTTCGAGCCCCGCGTCGGGCTCTGGGCTGATGGCTCAGAGCCTGGAGCCTGTTTCTGATTCTGTGTCTCCCTCTCTCTCTGCCCCTCCCCCGTTCATGCTCTGTCTCTCTCTGTCCCAAAAATAAATAAACGTTGAAAAAAAAATTTTTTTTTTTTAAAGTATCAAATTTAGTACATATTTGACATTGTCCTTAATCTCTCGTTAGGGAGAAACAGTTGGCAATGTGGTAAAATATGCATTACCTGTAATCAACTTAAAATTTATTTTTGTGCTATCTTCCAAATTCTTAAACTCTAAATGGGCTTTATCATTAAGCTCAAATTGAGGAAGAGGTACAAAATGCAAATATATATAACCAGGCTTGGTTTTAGGACTTGATAATATATTCCTAAACAGAACTGAAAACATTCATTTAAAATTGCTCCTGAAGAGAGAAGTTTAGGGAAGAAAATATATGAATAAATTTATAAAGATCTGAAAAAGTTGATAATGTGTTGCTTGAAAAATAAATTGGTTTATAATCCATATTTAATGGTTCCATTAAAGGTTTTTTAAAAAGAGTAACATTTCTCTCCCTCATTTAATTCACAATTTTATTCATTACAAACTTTCAAATCTACATGCTGCTAGGTTCAAATGCAAATGTTTCATCACTATTGTCAGCTTAAAAAGAAAGGATTTTACAAATTCAAAATGCAATTATTTGGCTGCTCCTGGGAACTTAAGCTTTATTCTTTTGGTCTCAAACATCTCAAAAATAGATCATACACACATAGAAAAAGATCAAGCCAAAGTTATTTTGAACCAAGTAATGAATAAAACCTTAAGCGAAACCAGGAATGTTTCTAAAGGAATTTATTCTCTTCTTCACATTATACTCTCTTAATCTGTTTATAACATTGAAAAGGCATATAAAAATAATTCATTGGAGTCAAAGTATAATATTTCTGAATTATAAAATGAAGTAGCTATAATATAATAATAGTCCCCAAGAGTTGGGCCTATAATACCTATCAAAATATTCTTTTGCTTATTATTAAAGATGACATAAAAAGTTAACTATTTTAAACTAAGGTAAAAAAAAAACCATAGTATTTCTAAAACTTTTAAGTAAACAGTATTAAATTTCAAAACTATTAATACCTCAAATGTATACCTTATAGAGAAAAATCACTTCAAACTTAGCAATTCCTTAAATTTTAAAATGCTTAAAGAAACAATTACATAAAAATTAAGAAACCTAAAATATTGAAAAAAAATTAGAAATTACCTGGAACTGATTTCCAGTGTGTACTTTTACTGTTGACCTCAAGTGAAATTCAAGAAAATGGTATCATGGGGTAATCTCCCTCACACTATCCTCTCTCTCTCTCTCTCTAGCGGGTTGTGACCATCTTGACCAAATGAAGCGAGAAGGTTTCACCTCATTTCACTTCTGTTTGCTTCTAACGAACAGAATATGGCAAAAAGGATGGGATGTCACTTCCAAGATAAGATTATGAAAGACTATGACTTCCTTTTTTGTCTGTCCCTCCCTCCTTTTCTCCCTCTTTCTTTGATAAAACAAGCTGTCATGTTAAAAGCTACCCTATGGAGAAGCCCATATGGCAAACAATGGAGGCCGGTCTTTGGCCAACAAGGTAGAAATTGAGGCCCTTGGTCCAACAACCTGGAAGAAAGTGAATTCTGCAACAAGTGAGTGTGCAAAAGCAGACCCCCCACCCCCCCACAACTGAACCTTGAGATGATTCTAGCTCCAACTGACACCTTGATTTCAACCTTGTTGAGAGACTTGAGCAGGAGGACCCAGTTAAACTGTACCTGATTCCTCACCCGATGACACTGTGAGATAATAAATGTGTGTTATTTTAAGGGGCTAAATGTGGGGGCAATTAGTTACACAGCAATAGACAACTAAATATACTCTTTCTTCTAAAAACATATACTCAATTAAAGGAATAAAGTTTAATATAAGGTAAGATATGTAAGAAGAGTTTTTTTTTTTTTTTGATATTATGGTGGCACCAAGAATGATGATTTATGACAAGAAATACTTATGAGGAAGATTAGAAAAAGGAGAAGGAAACGGGAAGAAGATATTTTTAGAAAGAAAAAACACAGATGATGATCATGGGCCCTGAATGTGACCCTAAGGAATCTGTACTTTATTCCGTAAGTGAAGAACCATTAAATGTTTTTGACCATAGGAATTATGAGATCCATATTTCTGGGAGAAAATTCTGGTGCCATTATATTCAAAATGGATTAGAAATGAAAAAGAAAATAACCAAATCATTTAAAGTTAATGTTAAAGTCATTTAAAGCCATTGCTAAAGTCAGGATGAGAAGGAAGGAGAGTCTGAGCCCTGTAGAAGTGTCAGTAGGAACAGAAATGGGGACATGGGTGTGAGGTGCTTGGGAGCAAAACCATAGGGTTTGGTTAACAAAAGACTATGAGGAAATGGAAATAAAGAGGAAAGGTGAAAATGGCACTAAGATGTTCAGCCTGACTGACTTGAGAGAAATGGCAACATGAAACAGAGCAGAAATGAAGGAAGAATTTAAAGGAGCAAAGTAAGTTCTTCTGAGTGGACTCGTTTGAGTAACAGCAGAATAATAATAAGGCAACAGTTTTGAATATGATTATGACACTAAGGAACAAAGTCAGAACTGCAGGTAAAGATTTGGGAATAACTAACTTAGGGATGCTGGTTAAGCCATGAAAAGAAATGAGATAGCCCACTGAGTGCTTAAAAACCTCTTATTACTCTGCACCACCTGCAGGATAACATGGAAAATGATTAGTTAACCACTTACCTAGCTTCAGCTGTTGCACATTCCAACATACATTCTATATTCCAAACACACAAAATGACTTAGGGGTCTCCCAAGACACTATGCATTTTCACACCCCATGCTAAGTCTTTGCACATTCCCCATTCCTGAAATGCTCCCTTCCTCAAGACTCATTTAGATTTTATGGAACTTCAAATGTCACCTCTTTTGTGTTTCCAAATCACGTAGCCTTTATCACATTATATTATTACAAACTGTCTTACCTTTCTGTCCTAACACATGACCCCTGGGGCAAAGATCATGTCTTCTTAATTGTTTATAACTAATGGTGCCTTGAATATTTAACATAATGTTTAAACGACAATGTAATTACTAGGGAAAAAAAAGGAAGATGGAGAGACTACGAAGAAAAAATGGGAATCATCCACCTTTAAGAAGCAGATCAAAGAAGGAATGAGGGAGACTAAGGAAACAAAATGGTTATTTGCATTTTAAAAGGGCAATGATGTTTCCTAATATTGAATTGAGAGTTCTCTTTAGTTACCAACTTCATATCAGTTAAACATGTCAAGTTCAATTTAAAAAAAAAAAAGAGGGCACCTGGGTGGCTCAGTCTATTGGGCAACCAACTTTGGCTCAGGTCATGATCTCGCAGTTTGTGAGTTCAAGCCCCGTGTGGGGCTCTGTGCTGACAGCTCAGAGCCTGGAGCCTGCTTCTGATTCTGTGCCTCCCTCTCTCTTTCCCCTCCCCCACTCATGCTCTGTCTCTGTCTCAGAAATAAACATTAAAAAAATTTTTAAAAATACAATGAAATTCGTCTTTTGTGAAGTTTGGAAGATTTTGATTTTTAAAAAAATCAGAGAATATTGTCAAATCTACCAGGAATTGGCACTGTCCCTCAAAACACATGCTGCTTTACTTGACAGAGCTTCTGCCTAATAATATAACTCCATTCTTTCCTTAACACTTCCCATACTAAAGAGCCATGAAATCTAAGACCATTGTCTCACATAACTCTTCAAGATTCTTCAATTTTATTTCATAGTACGCGTTTATGTAGATTCTCAGGGCAACCCAAATAATTGTCTTCACATATTGTCAATAATATGTCCTCTTAGTCAAACAAAACCTTTCTAACGCCAATCTTGTTCACATCCAAGACCTTTCCCTAAATACAGCTGCTTTCTTGCTCTCCAGTAATTCCATAAAACCAGACAGGTGAAATAGTATTCTGCACACAGACCACTGCCTGTACCACAGCCATTACTTACCACAATTGGCAGTACAGAAAACAGGGCTGTTCTGGACACCTCAGCCGGCACAGGCAGGATTGTTCTTGCTTGCGTTCATTTCCTTGTTGCCAGTATTTTATCTGTAAGGAAATATACAATAACCTGGCTGTTACTCTAAACTCTTTCTTTCCTAAAGTCCCTATGTACGAAAAGATGTTAATGCATGTTGTTTGAATAGTTTATGTACCACAGTAGAATTTTGTGTACGTCTTACTTAGACAAATTTAGTGTAATGTTTTTGTTTTTGTTTTCTTGTTTTTTTGTGTGTTGTTTGTTTTTTTTATTTTTATTTTTTGTTGTTGTTGTTTTTTACCCAATATAGAAGACTCTCTACTCTTTGTTCTGAGATGTTTTGGTTTTTTTTCAAAATCATGCTATTAATCACCTTATAATGCAGTCCCAAGAAAACTAGCCCTATATGCTTGCCCCAAAAAATGACTGACAGCACAAGATTCTTTATATTATTTATAGAATAAATTTTTCTTAAAACAAGTTGCAACAGAAAAAACAATACCATGGTTATAAATAATACCTGACACTCAGTAGGTGTCAAGGGAATAAAATAACTGAGCCTCAGGGAGGCTAAATGACATGCCCAAAGCTATACAATTAACACAAGGCAGAAATAAGACTCAAATCCAGGATCTGACTTCAAGTACCAGGATCTTAACTACTATTCTATAATATGCAAGATCTGAACCTTTACAGCACCTTAAAATTTATAACAAAACTTTAACATGTTATGGTCCTCAAAACACCATCAATGGGATGTCAGCACAGACACTGCTAATTAGTGATGAAGTCAGATTTGCTGATTTCAAGTATCTTTTTAATGAATTTTCTCCATGAACTCTATCAACATGTTTTGAAAGAGATCACAGAAATTGAAAAACACCTCCAAATTAGAATATAATTCTTAACCAGGGTACTCACAAGAATAAATGAGTCACTTGACACTCTGTTTCTGATTCAGTGAAGGATCTTTATTTTGGCAGGATTCATTTCTAAGAGCTCTACAAGTTGATACAAATGTCCCAAATGAGGTAACGAATTGTCACAAAGATATTTCCTCAGATTCAAGATCTGTTGTTGGCTGTAGCCAGGGGCCAGTCTTTCCCCCAAATCCTCCATTTTAATACCTTGTCCCTCCTCCTCTTCCTTCAAAGTCTCATTCCCTAAGTCTCTAGAAAGGAAAAAGGAAACCTCCTCATCCATCTCACATGTATGGAACACTGTGTCAGGCAAAGAATAAAAAGTTGATGATGCTTGGTCATGATCTCACAGTTTGTGGGCTCAAGCCCCACATGGGGCTCTGTGCTGACAGGATGGAACCTGTTTGGGATTATCTCTCCCTCTCTCTCTGCCCATCCCTGCTAGTGTTCTCTCAAAATAAATAAACAAACATTAAAATATTTTTAAGTTCATGATGCTTATTCTCAAGGCCGTCAAATTTTAGAGGGTGAAAATAGTCCCTAAAGTATCACTATGCACCTTCTTGAATTTCACACATAATAGGTGTTCAGTAAAAGCTAGTTAATGAAAACTGTGACCAGATATCTTTCCTAGGCCAAGGATGCTTTCTAGTTCTTACCTAATGTTTAAAATAGCTGTGTGAAAATTGTATTTAAAAAAAATCAACGGCGGGGCGCCTGGGTGGCGCAGTCGGTTAAGCGTCCGACTTCAGCCAGGTCACGATCTCGCGGTCCGTGAGTTCGAGCCCCGCGTCAGGCTCTGGGCTGATGGCTCAGAGCCTGGAGCCTGTTTCCGATTCTGTGTCTCCCTCTCTCTCTGCCCCTCCCCCGTTCATGCTCTGTCTCTCTCTGTCCCAAAAATAAATAAAAAAACGTTGAAAAAAAAATTTAAAAAAATAAAAAAAATCAACGGGTGCCTAGGTGGCTCAGTCAGTTATACATCTGACTTGTGATTTTGGCTCAAGTCATGATCTCATGGTTTTGTGAGTTCGAGCCCCACATTGGGCTCTGTGCTGACCTCAAGGAGCCTCCTTGGGATTCTCCCTCTCTCTCTGCCTCTCCCCTCACTTGCATTCTGTCTCTCTCAAATAAATAAACTTAAAAAAAAAGTGTTCTTTATCCACCAAAATCATTTATAAATATAAATTTAAAAAAATCAGTCAGATTCTGGACTACAGTTTTATTTTTTTTTAATTTTTTTTTTCAACGTTTATTTATTTTTGGGACAGAGAGAGACAGAGCATGAACGGGCGAGGGGCAGAGAGAGAGGGAGACACAGAATCAGAAACAGGCTCCAGGCTCTGAGCCATCAGCCCAGAGCCCGACACGGGGCTCGAACTCAGGGACCGTGAGATCATGACCTGGTTGAAGTCGGACGCTTAACCGACTGCGCCACCCAGGCGCCCTGGACTACAGTTTTAAAGAATGAACCTTGAAACAAAACAAAACATCAATGACTGATTCAAAGACAATGCATATTGCATAATTCTCTGGCAGTGTTGGAAGGGTGGAAATCGGTAGGAGATTTGGCTGAGATCTGTGTTTTAGACAACGGGACTGCAGGATGGCCTGAATATTTTTGGCTGCACATTTTTTTTTTTTTTTCTGGTGACTAGACAACGATCATCTCAGGTCCTTTGAACCACACTCTTCAAACCACAACAGGAGATGTGAGAAATCTCCAAGGGCTCTGTGTCTGCAGCCACCACCATAAGTTTGTAGATGCTTCTATTAAGAGTTTTATTAACTTCCTTGAGAAGCTGCCTATAGTTAACAAGACAGCTGGGCCATTTCCACCCATTTCACAGTGAAATAGATATCTAAGAAGGGATTGGGTTTAGGAGTTAACAGACCTCTGTCTTTGCTGCAGTTCTGTAGTCTTATTGTCTGCTCAAGGAACACAGATGACTTCAAAATGAAAAAGCTCACCTCACCCAGGAGGAAGGAGCAGAAATAGAATTGAAATTTTTAATAATTGTTTTCTCCTCCTTTTCCTTCAAAGACATCTAACTGCTAATCAGAGCTTCTGATAGGCATGAGATACCATTACACAATTATCAACTGAGTGGATATAATTCTATTACAGAGGAGATATTTGACAGATTCATTAGCTCATGTCACCTCATCATGAGAAGCTATTCAATTTTTGTTAGAATTTTTGAATGTTTGAAATATCTCAGAGATTCCCAAACTGCAAGGGGCCCAGGAATGCCAAGCTGCCTCCAATAATGGGGTTAGAACAAATCCTTCTACATTCAAAATTGTTGTTTAAGTTTTTTGAATACAGAAGTGACTTGTGTGAAGATTCAAAGCAACAACCAAGGCAAATATAATCCAGATATCAGCTGAGGTCATCCTCTGCTTTATGATTTCCTCTAATTCCTATCTCATGTCCAGGGAGAAGAAATCTCCTTAGAGAGAATTTTCCCCAAATCTGGAAGCTTGTCTTTTGTTATCTCTAATTCTGATTTCTTCTCTTACTAAATTCTCACTTATGTTTGACCCAACATATTTCTTCTCCTTTCTCTGTTCAGCAACCATCACAGATATACAACCTTTTCCTTTGTTTTATCAAACACCATTCAGTCAAGAAATTTGTGTATAGAGCAGACACTACTAAAGGTGTGTGCGATAGAGCAAGATGTGGAGGATTACGCTCCCGATATTCAACACCAAAAACAAGGACAGTCCTTTAATCATCCCTCTCCTAGGAATTTCTCAGTCTTGATATTTCTCTACTGTCCCCTACCTGCTATTGTGTTTCTGACCCTCTCTTTTTCTCTCCTGGGTCACTCCCACCTTCAAGTAACCGTTTATTTCTTATGCTGAGCAGTCCAGCCATCAGTCTCCTTCAAACCATACCCTGGAGGGCTCTTGCTTTCCAACATAAAGAGGTCTCTCAAGGTGTCTTGTTAAAAAATGTCCAGGTACTTTAGGAGAGAAATTACGCCACTCCCACAGGGGCAGAGCAGTGACCTTCCGTTGTGTTTTTAAAATAGCTGTTTTTCACTCCAGCTCTGTTTTGTTACCCAAACAAAATGGAGGTATTAACAAAAAGTTAACTCAAAATTTTAATATTATTCCTTGATAACCATGCTATTGCAAAATCTGTCTCAGAAAGTATAATGTAGGCAATTAAATAATTCAGTCGCTTATAATATTACAAACCACAAGAAATGTGACCTGCCGATTCATGTAACATCTTTAAATTTCTACACTTTTTAACCTTAAAGCAAATGATACATTTGTCATGCCCTTAATCAAAAACCGATATTCATAATATTCAGGTTAAATGTGAGATTTAGGCCTTAGGTTACTAACTAGAGAAAACCAATGCATCTCATCATTTAATTGTACTTAATGAAAACACATGACACAATGGATACAAATTTAATAGCTATGTTGAGCTTAATTCCATTAGCTGGTGATACAGCTAAACATCATGGGCTTGTATATGTGTATGTGTACACAAACACTCATCAGTATGCACATGTACATGCACATATACATTGTGCTCATTTGCTTATATGTTGTAACAATTTAGATTGTTAGCCAAAAGTAGTTTTTACTATTTTTATTTTAGTAAAATAAAAGTAAAAACACTTGCTTTGAAGGTTTGCTTATCATACCTGTTTTGTAGTAAAGATGCCATTAAAAGATAATTAGACAATTCAATATGGTGCCACGTCTAACTTTAAACAGAAGAGCATTCAAATACTATCTGTTGAAGAAAACTCAAATTTGGCAAATAAAATCAACATTGTTGCAGAACTGCATTATTTGTTCAAACCATGGAAATTGTAATTTTCTTGGACCAGCATGTATTTTAATCGATATTTATGAAGTCATCCAAATGTGCCTCTTAATTGAACCAAATTTTGCATTCATAACAGCCTCTCACAAAGGCATTGGCCAGTAATAATACAAGACTACATGTCTCATAATTTAAAGGCATTAACTTAAAATGACTATAGTTTGCAACATGCAAAGTATACCAACTGGACCAGCATAACCTAGAGAGTCATATCAAGATAATTATTTAGATATTCAGAGATTTGAAGTACAGAATCTGTGAGATTTAAAGCCATTGAAAAACTACAGGTATAATT